ATAGTAAAACAATATAGCCTAATTTATTCAGCGATAACGTAGCTTTTTAATGGTGAAAGAATTTTTGAAATCGGCCTAGTAGTGTTTCAGTTAAGTACAAATATTTCCTCTCTATAATATTAGTAAAGATATCTATAGATAGAGAAGAAGAATTTAAAACAGAATTAAAACTGCATGTAAGTTTTATTAATAAAAATAATAACTATTAACTCAAAAACTACTGGGCTTACTCCAAGAATCCTTTCACCAATAATAAGCTACGTAATCAGTAAGTAACATAGGCTATGTTTTTTAATTTCAAGCGGGCGAAGTTGTGAGCAACAGCTAAACTATACTACTATGCTTCTACACTTATATTATATTATAAATATGTATTTTGGTATGTATTGAAATAACTCAAAAACTAAAGGCCGATTTTAAAAATTCTTTCACCGTCAGAAAAATAATTTATTTGTGAGTAACATATTTGTTAATATCATACGGGCGAAGTTGTGAGAAATAGCTAGTAATATATAGATAACTGTAACATCAAATAATACACTTACTATTATCTTTATTGTACAAGTATTGGTAGTGTTAAACCCTTACATAATGGGGCAATATAAGAGGCAATATCATTTTGTTTTACGTCGGCCGCGATGGAAATCTGCTTAGCGAGCAGTTTTCAGATTAAATTCTTCGGATCGGGGTCACGAGAGTGTAGAGATATGAAAATTGTGCTATCACAGCATCGAACGACCCCTACCATTGTACTACTTTATAGCTGTATCACTTTTTTAATAAATTTTACTCATAATTCTTCAAGAAATATATTATTTCCTTAAAGGCCAAACGCATCTGTAGTTCCTCTGGTTTTGCGGATGTCCATGGCCGTTGTTGACCACCTCGGTGTTCTCACCGCTAGTTTGCCCGCTTTTATTAAAAAAAAAACTGGTAGATTAATTGGTGGACTAATTTTCTTGTGACTATCTTTGCACAAAATTGAAAGAAAACTTGTTAGGAAACCTATGTGTTCTAGTAGACTATGTTATATATTTGTACTAAATGTCAAGGTTTGTTAATTCGCTTTGAAAATACACAATAACAAAAAAATCAACCAAATTTTCACATTTATAATATTAGTATGATTATGGAATTATACGAAGACTTCTACCGTCTAATTTTCTTGTTAAAATTATGATGAAATTAATTATTTTTTTACATAGGATTAATTATAAATGTCTCTTTCTAGTTGTCTTCCTAAGTAGGGTTGGTACAAGGTAAGCAGCCATAAAAATTCGGAAAAAACGACAAGGTCCCAAATCACTCTCTTTTTAATCATGTCATCTATCATCTCTTTCTACCGGTGTACCTCCACACTCATAACTAATATTCTCCTTGTTACATGCGATTCATCCCTCCTCATAACATGCTTATCTTTTACTTCTCCTACCACTGGGTCTACTGTCAAACTACTAGCTCTTCAAATTGTTACTAACTGCTAACATTTCTAAAATTAGAAAAGAATATCAAACACTCTAGAAATTTTAATAAACAAAACAAAAAATAAGCTCAAAAAAGATAAAAATTAAAACGAGCAATATCGTTTGAAGAACACTCATAAAAATCCGTTTTATGAATCCTTTAAAATTATTTTGGTTCATTGCATACGCTTAAAATGTTCCGTAACTTCTCATTCTGTATTTAATTTTAAATGTTTTCTGCAATTTGTATTTTGAATATAAATATCTATTTTAAAAATGTAAAAGGAATAGTTTGTTTAACTACTCGTATATCTATCATACTAATATTATAAATGCGAAAGTTTGGATGAATGGATGGATGGATGTTTGTTATAGTTTGTAGCCTAAACTGCTGAACGGATCTCGATGAAATTTGACATATATGTAGAGGATAATCTGGAAGAACACTTAGGCTACTAACTTTTGTTTTTATTAAATTCCACGCGGACGGAGTCGTGGGCGAAAGCTAGTTACTATTATAAAGTGGAAAGATTTGTATGTATTGAAATAAATCAAAAACTACTGGGTCGATTTCAAAACTTCTTTCACGAGCAAAAAGCTGCGTTATCAATGAGTAACATAGGCTACGTTTTTTATTATTTTTGAATTTCACGCGGGCTAAGTCGCGAGCAACAGCTAGTAGTTTTTAATTTGAATAATTATAAAGCAAGAAAATAAGAGTGGTGAGAACATAAGGAGTAAAAGGTTAGCGTTGTATGGGCATGTTATGAGAAGGGATGAATCGCATGTTAAAGAAAGACGTTAGTTATGAATGTGGAGGTTCACCAGTAGAGGTAGACCTAGAAAGAGATGGAAGGAATGCGTGAAAGGAGACTGAGATGACGGATGATAGAGTTATTTGGAGGACGAAAACCCCGTGTGCCGCTACGGGAGTAGGATAAAGCAGGAGAAATGATGCTGATGATGAACTTTTCAAGCAAGATTTCCTACCCTAAGATTGCGCAGTAACCTTTGGCTTGTACACAACAAAAACTACAGAAATATATTAACTAACTACCTTTATGGTTGTTACAAAAAATTATGGAATTTATTAAAGTTTTATTTACAGTCTTGTAGCACACCCCTTGTTCATTTCATCCCTCGTTGCGATGTCCCGTTTGTATTATATTTAACTTTTTAAAGTACTATCTTTTATATAATTAAAATTATTCACCTGTTTGAATTATGGTTGAATCGTATTCAAAAGCAGGCTGCTGTAATGATAAGTGTACTCACAAACCTCATATTTAAAATCATTTACATGTTACTCTCCCATACTAATTTAATTTTCGCATAGTATGAAGTACTCTTAAAATGTCGAGGATAACGTTTCGTGTACATTTTTATATGGTTTAATAGCTTTATGTAAAAACATGGTGAAAAGGTAAAATAACTACACATTTTACTTTTCCATCATTTTTCATTCGTTTCAGTTTTACACAGTGTAAAATTATCGGTATAACCCAATATTCAAAATTCTCGAAATATATTGTCTAAATCGTAAACCACAAATCTTACACTTACTATTTTGTTATATAACATAAGGTGGCAAACGAGCAAGCGGCCACATAAAATCGCCAAAATGGCAAAGCGCCCGCTGCCCATAGACATCCGCAATTGCAGATGCGTTGCCTACCCTTATACGACGGTGGAGCAGACGCACATAAAGAGGATATTTTCTCTTCCTATGCATCTCCTCCACCGTCAAATCCACTTCCTCTTCCCAACCTCTCCTTATAAGGAAAGGGTGGTAAAGAGAAAGGGACTTAAATTAGGCCTCCGGCACCACACTCATCAGACGACACACGGAATTGCTTCCATTTCACGCCTGTCTTCTGTGTGGTCGTGGTATTTCACCGGGCGTGCCGGCCCATTCGAAATACACTTACTAATATTATAAATGCGAAAGTTTAGATGTTTTGATGGATGTTTGTTAGCGTTTGTAAACGGCTGAACGGATCTCGATGAAATTTGGTATAAACGTGGAGGATAGTCTGAAAGAACAGATAGGCTACTCACTTTTGTTTTTTTTTAATTCCACGCCAACGGAGTCGTGGGAGAAAGCTGGTATAACATATTTAAACACTATTCAGTTTAAAAATTTACTTCTTATTAATATTATAAATGCGAAAGTTAAGATTGGTGGATGTTTGTTAGAGTTTGTAGACTGAACGGATCACGATGAAATTAGGCATAAATGTAGAGGATAGTCTGGAAGAATACAGGCTACTTGCTTTTGTTTTTATTTAAAATTCATGCGGCCATGCCCCTTAACTCTTATAATCTTCTATTTTTAACATCCTTTCAAATAGAAGAGATTGTGAATCGAAATTTAACTTAGTTAACATCAAATCTTTTAGCATTTTCTGATTATTACGAAATTGTGCAATGTACAAACATTTAAAGCTAGTGAAACTGGGTCAACACAGTTGTAAGTAGTAAAGAAAATACAACGCAAGTCTTTTTTAAATCTCCGCCAAGCTTTAATTGAATCTATTCCGTGTACTCTTGAAACTTCGGACGAGTTGAAAACCTTAGTATATTTCTGTAACGGTCGGTTTCCGAACAACGTTTAACCGTTAGTGTCTTTAATTCGATATATGAAATGCATTTCCGAATTACATATATTGCGTGAAAGTCGCGGGAAACAGCTAGTGTAAAATATTTAAATTAATATTTAACTTCCGATTGTAATTGCGCCAATTATCGACGGTTTATAATCATGTTTTATTATATATAACCTCAGTATATCTATACTATTATAATAAAGCGTAAACACACACTTCTTTGTTACCTAAGATAGCAGCAATTACAGCATATTTTTGAATAATTCTTTGTTTAATTAAAAGCCCTACACTTACGTCATGCTTTAGGCTATATGTTTTCACGCCATTAAACTTAGGGGGTAAATATTTTGGATAAAAACCCTAATGTGGTAAAGAGAACTGTGATGTAGGTACCTGTATTTCAGCGGTCGGGTTATACCAATTATTGTACATGCTTAAGGCAGTCGGATTATACATCTCGAACCTAACGCCCGTGTTTTATTCCGTACACCACATTGGCGACGAGGATAAAGTTACGTGGCGGTTCTATTGTGCGAAGTGCATAATACAGTGTTTAATCGAAATCGACGGAGTTTTATCATTGTGAAATACAATGGTTGTTGGATATACGGTTGCGGGCAACGCGCGAAGCGGCGCGGTCGGCCATTATGGCGGGGCGGCAACAGCGCACGGCGGAGCGGCCGGTGCGGGAAGCTGCCGCGGTAACGTTGCCGGTGCAGGAGTGTTGCGCAGCGGAGTTGCTGCAGCCATCTGGCGTGGCGGAGCATTTGGCGCGGGGAGATGGCGCGACGAGGCTGCCAGTGCAGTCATAGCACGTGGCGGATCAGCTGTTGCGGGGAACTGGCGCTGCGGAGGGCGCCGGGATACGGTCAGCCCGATGAGCAGGCACGGCCAGGCGGCTGATGTTGCGGACTGGCGAAGCAGTGGGGCGGATGCTGTCCGGCAACGGTACCCTGGTGTGGGCGATGGAGTTTTGCGGTTTCGCGAGCCGGTATGTTTTTTTGCGTGCAGCCTGTGTAGGCAGAGGGGACATCTGCGGCGCGCATGTCCTGAGCGCGGCGGCCAGCGACGTAGCGGTGGCCATGGCGCGGGACACAGCGGGTATAACGGCGGTGGAGCAGAAAGAGACTACGGAGCGACAAGCCGGAAGGTGAGCCTTAATCACCTTAGGCTGAACGAGTATAAGCCGGTTAGTGTACCTATAGTTATCGACAATATTACCGTCAATATGGAGGTAGATACGGGTTCAGCCGTTTCATGTATTAGCAGTGAAACATATAGAAGATACTTCAGACACCACCGTGTCGAAAACAGTGGCTTGATTTTAAATTTTTACGATGGCACAAAGGTTAAGCCGATAGGCTTTATTAAACCGTTGGTACGCTGGGGTGACCACAAGAAAAGACTTGAGTTATTTGTTGTAATGGGTGGTCATACATCCTTGCTCGGAAGACAGTGGTTATCTGAACTAAATATTAGAGTACCTATTTTTAGTAATTGTTACAATTTAGATAATGAAAAATTGGAATGGTCGATTGAAATAGATAAATTATTTTCTAGGCATAAGGAGATATTCAGCGGTGGTCTCGGTCGCTTTACGGGCGGTAAGGCGACGCTGCGCGTGCGGGAGGGGGCAACGCCGGTGTTCCACCGCGCGCGGCCACTACCGTACGCGCTGCGAGAACGCGTCGACGCCGAGCTGGACCGCATGCTGCGCGACGGCGTCATCGAGCCCGTCGATTGCTCCGACTGGGCCTCGCCGCTGGTGCCGGTCAACAAGGCGGACGGCTCCTTGAGAGTTTGCGCGGATTACAAAGCGACGTTAAATCCCGTGTTGCAGATAGATAGGTATCCTTTGCCGCGGATAGAGGATTTAATGGTAAACTTAAGTGGGGCGCGTTATTTCTCTAAAATTGATCTGTCGCAGGCGTATAATCAGATCGAGTTAGACGAAACTAGAAAATATACGGTTGTCAACACGCATAGGGGGCTTTATAGATACAACAGACTTGTTTACGGATTAGCTTCGAGCCCAGGAATATTTCAGCGCATTATGTGCAATCTTTTTCGCGGTATCCCTAACGTCGAAATATTTTTAGATGACGTCATCATTGGGGGTAAAACATTGCGTGAGCATTTAGATGCCTTAAGGGAGGTTTTTAGTAGACTACACAGTGCTGGGCTAAAATTAAAGGCTAGCAAGTGTATTTTCTTAGTCGACGAAGTACGTTACTTAGGATACATTATAAGTAGGGAGGGTATCAAAACGGATCCCTCTAAAATTGAAGCAATCGTTAAAATACCTAGGCCGAGTAACATAACGGAACTTAGATCGTTTCTAGGTATTTTAAATTTCTATGGAAAATTTGTAAGAAACATGAGTGACCGTTTAGTACCATTGTATGAGTTGCTTAAGAAAAGGTCAGAATGGTATTGGTCCGCGGATTGTGAGAAATCATTTTTAGAAATTAAAAAAATATTGTGTAGCGTGGACACCTTAGCGCATTACAATCCACAGAAACCGCTCATATTGACGTGCGACGCGAGCGGGCGGGGGGTCGGCGGCGTGCTGACGCAGATCGACGCCGGCGGCGGTGGCGAGCGGCCGGTTGCATATGCGTCGCGCACGCTCACTGATGCCGAGAAAAATTATTCTCAGATACACCGGGAAGCGTTGGCGATTATTTTTTGCATTAACAAGTTCCATCAATATTTATATGGGCGTCATTTTACTTTACGTACAGACCACAAGCCCTTAGTGTCAATTTTTGGCCCCAACGCGGGGATACCGACAATGGTGGCTAGCCGAATGCAACGCTGGGCGATAATACTCTCGGCTTACTCGTTCGACATTTTATACGTGCGTACGGACGAGAACGGCGCTGATGGTCTGTCGCGGTTGCCGGTTCGCGGCGGTAAACAAGCTGATCCATCGCCGCCCGAGCAAACGTACTTGCATTGTATTCAAGATTCATTAGGTTTAGATTACAATGAAATCAAACGCGAGACGGTACGGGACCCAATACTGGCTAGATTATTACTTTACATTCGGGATGGTTGGCCCGTGCAATGTGAATTAGAAAATATGAAGCCATACTGGAATAGGAAAAATGAGTTATACGAGGAGTTAGGGTGTATAATGTGGGGCCACCGGTTGGTTGTACCTGATCAATGTAAAAGTAAGATATTGAAAATTATACACGAACCACACATGGGGATAGTAAAGTCTAAAGCGCTCGCACGGAGTTACGTTTGGTGGCCAGGGATCGACGAAGCGGTGGAACGTACGTGCCGGGAATGTACGGCTTGCGCGGCGCAGGTGGATGCGCCGGCGCGGCAGGCCCCGCGCATGTGGCCCTGGCCCGCACGACCTTGGTCCCGTCTCCACCTGGATTTCCTAGGTCCTATCGCGGGAAAAACGTACTTGGTAGTTGTAGACGCCATGTCTAAGTGGGTGGAAGTTTTCCACATGTCGGGTGTTTCGGCGAATTACCTAATTGACCGGCTAAACGAATTGTTCAGTAGATTCGGTATACCTCGGCAGATCGTCACGGACAACGGAACTCAATTCACGTCTAAGGAATTTGAATATTTCAACCGGTACAACGGTATTGAACATATTTTTACGTCTCCGTATCATCCGTCGTCGAACGGGTTGGCCGAGAACGCCGTGAAGACGCTAAAGCGGGTTATAAAGAAAGCACTGCAAGAAAAACAAGATATAAATAGGGCTCTGTGGTCGTTTCTGTTATACTATAGGAACGTCGAGCATTGCACGACAGGTGAGAGTCCGGCGTTACTCCTCCTTGGTAGGCAGATTCGAACGCGACTTGATGCAGTGAGACCGGACAGGGAAGGGCACGTGCGGCGGGCGCAGCAGCGCCAACAGGATGCGGCCGGCGGAGCCAGTCGGACTCTGGACAATGCGGACGATGTGTGGTACAGACAGTACCTAAAGGGAGAAAAGTGGCTGCCGGGCCAAGTAGTACAAGTGTTAGGCAGTAGTAATTATAAGGTTAGGAATAACGATGGGGAAATAGTGCACAGGCATATTGATCAGTTACGGAGGCGTCCTAGCGAAGGTAGGCGATCGCTAGCTTGCACTACGTCTGATTTGGACAGACAGGCGGGCGACATAGCAGACTCTCAAGTGGCAGACCCCGGGGTCTCAGAGGCGGAGGAGGTCGAGTCGGAGAGCCCGGCGGGAGCGAGCCAGCCGGCGTCGGGGCCGCAGCCCGTCCCGGCTTCACCGGGCGGGGAATGCTTGCCTTCCCCGGCTAGAATTCGCCCAGTTAGGCAATGTCGGTTAAAAAGACCTAACTAGTTATAAGCGAATTCTTATTAAATGGTTTATGTTATTACAATTTGTGTGTGTATGTCTTAGTTTGGATTATTATTGGTATTATATAATTTTGTGATTAATTGTAATTCTTTATTGTAATTTAGTTTTAAAACTGTTATTAATTAAGTGTAGAGGAGTGTGATGTAGGTACCTGTATTTCAGCGGTCGGGTTATACCAATTATTGTACATGCTTAAGGCAGTCGGATTATACATCTCGAACCTAACGCCCGTGTTTTATTCCGTACACCACAAGAACATAAGTTGCTGGCAACATCAAGGAAGTAAGATTGTCAAGGTTTGTCATGTCATGTCATTTTGACATTTGTTATTGATAATTTGACAAATTTTTATAATTTTATGCGGATGAAGCCACACGGAAACAACTAGTTTTGTCATAAAAGCAAATACGGAATGTAGCTAGAGGCAATGTATAATATCGTATCCACAAACTACATGTTAATTAGCAAACAACTTCCGTAGAGTAACTAGGGCAGCGCTATTAAAAGAATTTCCGTTTAGAGGACTTCAAGTCAAAGTTGGCGAACATTTTTTTTTAATCAAGAATGTTTTCTACGCCCTAAATTAAATTTTACTTCATTATGAAGTCATTTGGATAGCGACATCTTATCAGTTTATTTTATTAAAGACATGTTTTTTAGTTTCATCTATACTATTATAATAAAGCGTAAACACACACTTCTTATTATCACAGCTTATTTTTGAATAATTCATTTTTTAATAAAAAGCCCTACACTTGCGTCACGCTTTAAACTATATATTTTCACGCCATTAAACTTAGGGGGTAAATATTTTGGATACAAACCCTAATGTGGGAAAGAGACCATAAGTTGCTGCCAACATTAAGGAAGCAAGATTGCCAAGTTTTGTCATGTCATGTCATTTTGACATTTGCAATTGACAACAATAAAATATTTTTCATAATTTCATGCGGATGAAGCCGCACGGGAACAGCTAGTATTTAATTATCAATAAATAAAAACATTTTAACTATCGAGTTTGAAATATCATTACCATGATTTTCGTATTAATTTCAAAGCCATTTTACAACTTAAATTTAAAATTTTTAATTCCAGTAATCCAAACTCGGTGATTATCTTTTGTTTAAACAGCGCCATCTCTCGACTGTATTTTAAAGATTCTAAAATTTCGTTGTAAACTCGAGGGGAATAGTTTTTTGCTTGTATATTTGGAGATGAGCCAATCTCCTGTCTTCATACACTAACAGACACACACATTTGCAATTCAGTGTACAGTTTGTTTGCAACTTTTGCAATTTTTCACGAACAGTACCGTGAAGCGAGAATAATTAATTATCTTCAAGCGAACATTTTGCATATTCATTGGAGAGTTACGAGAAAAAAAAAAAAACTTAATTATAAACAATTTTCAATATGAAAGTTTGTGTTATTTGTAATTCTGTTTATTAGATAAATGATAATAATAATAAAAACCTCTCTATTGCCATCCAAGAATACACAGAGTTGTACAAAACAAAAAACATACATGAAAAAATTATAACAGATGGCAAAAGGGGGAGGCTCAGCTTAACCGATACTGGTTGAGATCCAGTCGAGCTGGTTTTCAGCCACCCCCCCCCCCCTTCCCAAGATGTAAAAGGGAGCGTAGATAGTCAGAGGTCGCTGTACACTAGTGTATAATGTAGTTAAGTTGTTCTATTTTGACTTGTTCAGTTTGTAATTAACTTATTAAAACTTTCACGAGACATTATGCTGTTATAAGTTATATACTTATAACACGGCTTAGTTTGTACTTATGGCAGAATATTTTACATGATTTATTTGTCGTTGTTATGTTAAGACTAGTCACCGGCGATTTCGTTCGTGCGTAATTAAAAGAATGCATTGCATTATATTTGTAAAATATTTTACATTAGCTTTCGCCCGCGACTCCGTCTGCGTGGAATAAAAAAAAACAAAAGTCTACTCAGACTATGTGTTCTTCCAGATTGTCCTATACATTTGTACCAAATATCATCGAGATCCGTTGAGCCGGCTGCAAACTCTAACAAACATCCATCCACCTATCAATATTAGTAAGAAGTAAGAGTATAAGTTGGAAATCGAACGGCAACCGCTATCCAAAGACATCTATGATTACAGATGCGCTGCCTACCCTCAATCAACGGAAAAGGCGCACATAAAGAGTATATTTTCTATGCGTCTCCTACTTCCCAACCTTCACTAAGTAAGCTATTGAGATCAGCGCCATCTAGATACATAAATAAAAAAATCAAAGCAATCACAAATCGAACAATAAAAAAATACACGAAAAACAAAACAAAATGCACTAAAAACAAAACAAAATACACCAAAAACAAAATATTCTCAAAAAAACAGTACACTAAAAAGTAACGAAATAATTCCTTGAAAATAGTAAACCAACCTACCTTATTGTAACTGTTATGTCTATATTGTACAATTATTTTTACTTTGATGTCGGTGTCAGCCAAGGTATGCAGTGATATTTCTAGGTAAGGGTTTCCACATTTTTACCATAACAATTGACAATTGAAAGTATAGTAACAATTAAGTAATGAATCTACATTGACTGACACCGACTTCAAAGTAAAAATAATTGTACAATATAGACATAACAGTTACAATAAGGTAGGTTGGTTTACTATTTTCAAGGAATTATTTCGTTACTTTTTAGTGTACTGTTTTTTTGAGAATATTTGTTTTTGGTGTATTTTGTTTTGTTTTTAGTGCATTTTGTTTTGTTTTTCGTGTATTTTGTTTGAAAGTCGGTTTTGTTTTTTTATTAAAAAGTTTATTTATTTCTTGATTTTTAGTGAATCTAAACATTGCAGTATGATA